ACATTTGATCTTATGATGTTAGCTACACACGCAGACACACATATGATTGTTGAGATATATGATTGTTGATATATATATATATATATATATATGCATACATACACACACACACATATATATATATATATATATACATACACACACAGAAACATTTGATCTTATGATGTTAGCTACACACACAGACACACATATGATTGTTGATATATATGATTGTTGATATATATATATATATATATATATATATATATATATATATATATATATATATATATATATATATATATATATGCATACACACACACAGAGAAACATTTGATCTTATGATGTTAGCTACACACAAACACACATATGATTGTTGATATATATGATTGTTGATATATATATATATATATATATATATATATATATATACATACATACACACACACAGAGAAACATTTGATCTCATGATGTTAGCTACACACGCAGACACACATATGATTGTTGATATATATGATTGTTGATATATATATATATATATATATATATATATATATATATATATATATATATATATATATATATGCATACATACACACACAGAGAAACATTTGATCTTATGATGTTGATATATATGATTGTTGATATATATATATATATATATATATATATATATATATATATGCATACATACACACACAGAGAAACATTTGATCTCATGATGTTAGCTGCACACAGACACACATAATGATTGTTGATATATATGATTGTTGATATATATATATATATATATATATATATATATATGCATACACACACAGAGAAACATTTGATCTTATGATGTTAGCTACACACACAGACACACATATGATTGTTGATATATATGATTGTTGATATATATATATATATATATATATATATATATATATATATATGCATACATACACACACAGAGAAACATTTGATCTTATGATGTTAGCTACACACAGACACACATATGATTGTTGATATATTATTGTTGATATATATATATATATATATATATATATATATATATATATATATATGCATACATACACACTCAGAGAAACATTTGATCATATGATTGTTGATATATATGATTGTTGATATATATATATATATATATATATGCATACATACACACACAGAGAAACATTTGATCTTATGATGTTAGCGACACACACAGACACACATATGTATTAATTAATGAATATCAAACACTATTAATCTTCATTTCATGAAAGCTATAAAATTAGCCTTCAATCTTTGCAAACCTGTTAACCAAATATATATATATGCGTGTGTTTGTATGTGTGTGAATATATAATGTTAAGATCAGTTGTAGCTGTATTAATATATTTGCAAACCAAATAGATAAATATATATGTGTGTGTATGTATGTGTGAATATGTAATGTTAACATCAGTTATAGCTGCATTAATTTATTTGCAAAGCAAATATATAAATATATAAATGTATGTGGGGGAATGTGTGTAGGTATGTGTGTGTATAACTATAAGATATCGTACATTGATATTAAGTATATATTAATAAATATACATATTGTTCCTCAACAGGTGAGGAATAATATGTATATGTATCATTTCCTTTCTCAATTGCTCTATATTTCTTGACCTCTTTTTACAGAGTAGAAGTACACCGTCAACACAGTTACATTAATATCGGTGTGACTTTAGACTTGAATACCAAAATATACCAAAGATCTATATAACCATAGATACGTCAGTAAAGAATCAAACCACTCTTATAACATTCTAGATAATTTACATAAATTAGATTACATAAGTTACATTATTTACTAACTCCAACAATAAGGAAATACTTGATAATAATAAAATTAAATAATAAAAAGGCTTTAGCAGTAAAAAATCATAAAGCAAATTTGGAATATTTAGAAAAAAACAAAGAAGATAAAATTAAACGGAAACACCAATGCACCTTTTAATCACAATGTTCAAACTAATAATAATATTATATTTCCTAAATTTAATTCATAAACACTTTAATCTTTCACTAATGCTAAAAAAGATTTTTTAATAAAGATAATATTAACATCAGTTATAGCTGTGTTAATAACATCGATAACTATCCCAATATAACAATATTCTATTAAGCAAATACATGACAAACAATGTTATTTTAAAAAATGCAACTGTTGAAAAAAAGTGATCTGTCCCTTAGGCACTAATGTATGAGTGATAATATTGTTTACCGAGTTAGCATATATTCCGGTAACGATATCAAGTTTAATTTTGGTTCCACTTAACATCCTTCTAAATTTCGTTTCTACCATCATCGAATGATTTAGGCAATGTATGATATGTAAACTGCACTGCTCTCTCCAAACATTTCTGGCAAAGAAAGAATAATGGTAATATTGCACGTGTTGTAGCTAAAGCCAAAACTTACAAGGAGAAAGGAGAATAATTTATACCTTGCTGAAAAATTAGTTATCTTGAAGCACCTAAATAACGCTAGCTTATTAAACAAGAGAAATCGATTGTTGGCTACAGGTAGGCATAAAAAATAAATATCTACTGAAATACGTTGATCCTGATTAAAATTCAATGTAATTTATGCTTTTTAAAATATATATATATATATATATATATATATATATATATATATATATATATATATATATATATGCAGGGGAGAACATTCTCTCCTTTTGTTTTTGTACAGATTTTTAAAAACGATTCCACCGCAAACAACTAAGACCTAAAACCACTAAGACATAAGAAGTCACTAGGTGTGGATGAATTAGAAAACAGAAACATTAGTAAAGAGTTAGAACAATAGGAGAGTAATCAGGAAGTCAATAGATAGTGATTGACATTTTCTTTAAATTTTCGAAAATTAAAGTTGACTGGAAGGCCTGAATCCGGAAGTGAGTTCCACAAACGAATAGTGCGAGAACTAGAACTTACAGTTGCATCTCGTCAGCTCAACTGTAAATTCATAAGACCTTGCCGCCAGCTTAGTACTGCGCTTAAATTTAAAAAAAAAATTCTATTACTTGCATGAATGCAAAACTTATTCCCAGTACTAAACTTCATAGTTGACTATCTGCGACACCCCTTGGGCTATTTACAAAGGTGAAAGTTGTGATTGGAAGTTTGGATAGAGGCACGCATGCCCATATTCCAAATTGATATTCCTGTGTCCATCCCAGATATGGCAGTAATACACAATTTTTGGTCTGGTCTAGCTCTTCTTAGAGTTTAGCAGGAGGAGACAGGTACTTACTTGATCCTTACAATTAACCGACGATCTTTTCGCCATCATTAGCGATGAATCTGAGATCTTGATGTCTGGGATGAAATCCCAATAGACGTTCAAGACAAGGTGAAAAAACCCAATCATGACGATAAAAAAAAAAAATAAATAAACACAACAATTTAACGTCTGCTCGGTGATAATGGAACATTTCTTGTTTCGTTTTTGAAAGACTATCTGGTAACGTTAGCAAAATTTCTACAGCAAAGCAAATAAGCCAACTGAATTCAACCTACCAGTTTTTTTTTTCTCTTTTAATACGACAGTGATTTAACCTTTGGAAAGAACGTATTTGCGCGTTGTAAAAGTAGACAGTAGTTAAAAATTAACAATTACACTGTCATTTTAAATTACAGTGTTGTATTTTCAAACTTCGATGCAATACGAGAATAATCTATGAAGTCACGAGTTCATTCCACTAGCTAATGATGATGGAAGTGAGTTCAATTGATAACTAATGGATTGTTTTATATTTTTTCCGATGGCAAATAGCAGGAAATTTTTTTTAAAAATTATGACCTGCTTCAGACCCAAGAGAACTGCAAATTTTGAACCTGTGATAATGTTTTACTTCTTCACGTACCATAGCCCCTCCCTCAGGACGTAGGCAATTATGACTCTCCACAATTTTCTGTCCTTTGTAGATCTTAATAATTTTTGTCATTTTGTTATGTCTCCTAAACCCTGTTCTGTCACCCATTTAATCAAGCTCTCTCAGTATGTTATGCGTTGTATTCCTTTGTCTTTCCTACCAGCAGTCTCTCTTGTGTGTACCAGATTTTCCAAGCCCTAATTCTTTATTATGTGTCCCAGAAATCTCAACTGTCTCTTCATAAGGCTAAGTAGAAGTTTCCTTTTTATTTTCATTTTCTTTAAAATTTCACAGTTGCTCACATTTTAGTTCTATGGTATCTTCGGTATCCTTCTGTAGAACCACATTTCTGTTGCTTCAATCTCTTCTTTATCTGTAAAGTGGTTTCAAGTATTCACTGTCATATAGGGGGACAGATATTGCATAAGTTTTTTGTACTCTTTTCTTTGCTTCTGTTGTCTCAAGTATATTCTTCATCTGTGAAGATGTCATATAGGGGGACAGATATTACATAAGTTTTCGGTAAACTTTTCTTTACTTCTGTTGCTTCAATCTCTTCTTTATCTGTAAGGTGATTTCAAGTATTCACTCTCATATAGGGGGGCAGGTATTACATAATTTTTTGTACTCTTTTCTTTGCTTCTTTTGCTTCAAGTCTCTTCCTCATCGTTGAGGAGATTGTCCAGCATTCACTGCTATGGAGGACACATATCACGTAACAGTTCAGTAGTCTTTTTTTTTTTAACGTATTTTTTCTGTTGTTTTTTTTTATACTCTGTTTAGCTTTTGGAATGCATCATTAACTCTTATAATTCAGATTTCAGTGCCGCGTTTTCCGACCTCTGTTAATATACTCCCCAAATATTCAAATTTTTGTACTTGTTTGACGATTTGCACTTTAAGCTCATTCTTTTGCTATTCTTTCTTTCTAATGATATTTAATCCTTTCTTCTCGCTTTCCTTCACTACGTTCTGTAAGAAATTTGGTAGTTTTCTTTCCGTGTCTGCGATCAACACTGTGTCATCTGCACATCTTACGTTGTTAATGTTGCCGCTAATAATGAATACTGGTAGGACATCTAATTCTCTCGGAATCTTCTCGTTGTATATGTTGAATAAGTCCGGCGAGAAGACACATCCTTGTCTTACACCCTTTCCTATTTATGTATCTGTTGAACATTTTCTGTCCATATGCAGGCGATTTGCTGCCAGTATAAGTTCTTGATTATACTAATATCCTTCTCAAATATGTCAAGGTTGCTGAGCGGTTCCAAAAGATCTTTGTGACGTAATTTATCGAATGCCTTTGCGTAATCTATAAAACACAGACAATAAATAGCGGAAAAGGATGATAAAATTATAAAAAAAAAAACGGAACAACAAATCCTTAGCTTGAAAATCTGAAGTAATGGTTCTAGCCAATTCATTAATAATTAATTTTCTACTAGAATCAGATAAGCTTAGCAAATATTTAAAAGATAAAAAAATATTGTAGTTATTACCTACGATTCTAGGTAACAAAATCTGTTTGATATCAAGTTATTAATATAGGAGTTTGTGCGCGTGGGTAGGTAACTGTTATTAGCGCGAAAATTGGAATCGCTGTGCTAAGAGTTCAAACGCTTGCTGAACCTGTTTCGTTCACTTTTCAATAATACCTTTAGAAAAGGTATGAATCTATCTTTCTGCTAGTTATGACTTGCACAGTATCGTAGTCTCTTACCCTAATTGGTAGAACCTCTATGTGGGAGAAAACTTTTTAATTTAACACCCACATAAAATAGGAGAGACAGACCCCGTTGTTAGGGCACGCAGACTAGAAGGAAAATCCTAAAGATAGACTGCCTTAAAATAGATACTTTCCGTCAGTCTTCATTGCCTTAGACACAACCACTCGAGTCATGTTCAAAGCTTCATCAAATCACCAAACCCAGTCAGAAATATCTAAACTGTCAAATGTATACAACCGCTTCCTAAGATCAATGGTGAACAAAAGGCTTTGAGTGAGTAAAGCCAGCGTGTCTTGACAAAGGTTATCTTTGTTTGAAAATTGTGGACGAGAGCTACAGAATAACAAACAAAGAAATGTAATAGAAACTACATCACTTGGGTACTACTAACAACTAACTTTTGTTAGCAGCAACAACTAAAATGGGTAACATATGAAATTCGAAAATAAAATAATGACATAATCGAGATGTTGAGATTACCCACTACTTCAAATAAAAGGTTAGGAAGGAAATCACCATGAAGTTCATTTCTTTTTTCTTCAATTCGTAGCTTGGGCTTTCTCTCTTACTAAAAACAATACATTTAATCTTCTTAAAATTATTGTTTAGTCTTTGCTTCTCACTTTTATTTAATACCTCTCTACCAGGAGTTTCTGCATTTTTTTTGTGTCTGCTATTAACAATATCAAATAAGGTTTTCTTTTTTAAGTAACCTGGTCACTTTTAGGAGTTTTGATGTATCTATTTATCCAGTACCATAGCGCTATTGCTAGGTACAATTAAATGAATTGTGCTGATGTTGCTCTCAACATGGTGCATATTTATAAAGTATTTTGTAAAAGAAAATAACATAATTCATTAATATTAACAGGATAATTCTACCTAGCCCGAGCGCGTACACCCGAGCTAGGAACAAAAAATGCCCGCAGCCCCTGCAAGCGTCGGTTGCGCTGGCCTCGTGCGTGTCATAGAAAATGCGATAACGGCTACTGGATTTAAAAACCTATATTTCTAAAAAAAAAAAAAAAAAAAAAAAAGAAGAAGAAGGAGAAAAAAAAAAAAAAGAAGAAGAAATAGTTTTAAAAGGAAGATTCTATAAATTTCAACCGGAAGTAGTATTGGCTGTTTGGTCAATAAATACCAAATGTTTCCTTGTAGAGAAACTGCTAATATTACCATTACCATTGATAATATACTTGCAGTACACGTGGTACTTCTTTGCTAAACAACTCGTAATCGTGATGAAAGTGTGGTGAATGAATTAAAACTAGAGAAATTTAAATCCGTGATTTTTATATTAGTGACCGAAAAAACAAAATGGTGAAAAAAAAATCTAACTGAAAAGCTTGCCAACTCTGAAAAAAAATTTTTTTTTTCATTAGTCGACGTACAATAAGTTTGGGGTAACTATTCGTTAAGGCTGTAAAAATAAATTAATATAAGTTAAATTTTAATAAATTCAGAGAAAAAATATTTATTCAAAATATTCTTAATAGGTAAAAATGATTATTTCATATTAGCAACAAATTCTCACTTCCCTTTCAAAAATATTAATGAAATTCTACAAATTAAAATCGATTTAGTTTGATTTTTTACTGTGGAGGTTTTTCCCTTTATGTTAACACTAGCAGTAGAGTCCGGCGTTGCCCGGGATGTAACAGTAAGAGATAGATCAAGTATCGACCATCATAAAGACTGAAAAATAAAATTGACAAAGATTATTGTTTAAGGCTGACGGACACGTTTTTTTTGTTTTTTGTTTTTTTGTTTTTTTTTAAGAATTGGTCAAACCCAAACTTAAACAAAAACATTGTTTTCAATCGTTATAAGTCTACCGATTGAATAGAATTTTATTATAAACAATTGTCTTGTAAATGGAATTTTTAAAGCATTCTGAATGTAAAAATAAAGAAAAAAGTGTGCAAGACAATAAGAAACACTACCTGCCAAAAAAAGTGAAGTTTTGTTGAAATCGGTTGAAAAATGTAGGAAATCCGATCCCATATATAAACGAACACACACACAAACAACCTGGGTTTTATAATAATAAGTATAACTCGATATAAGTTGTCCCCCTTTCCTTTTCGCGATGCCTATTAATCGTGTTTTCAAATTGATTTCGTGCAAAAACAATTGTGTTGTTTCAATTTTTGGCACTGTCAGAACCACCGCAAGGTAATTTTACGTAGTCCTGTGAAGTTTTGTTGAAATCGGTTGAAAAATGTAGGAAATCCGATCCAATATATAAACGTACACACACACACACACACACACAACCTGGGTTTTATAATAAGTATGATTAGCCTTAAAAACAATTTGATAGATAGATTCAAGTTTAACCCATTACCTGCCATGAACCCCATTTGGGGATCTGTTAAAATTAAACTCACTACATGTTATTCCTTGTATTTACATTGAATTGCTTACATGCATTGCAGTTGCAGAGGTATATTTTACAACACTTAGTCCTTAAAGTTTTTATTATTAGCCATAAGAAGACACTTTCTGTCGTAATTTTACATTTCACGAGTTGGAAAATAATGACTATTTTGAAAAGAATTTTTTTTTTTATTATTTCTAATCAATATTATTTTTTCATGTTTTATACACATATATATTTGATGTTCTAGTTTCTATAAAAACAACAATGGTAACTACTGAAATTAAACATAAGGAATAAATAAACTCCTAAGACAACTGTCTGGGCCAAAAATGCGCATTAAAAAAATTTGGCAGTTAATGGGTTAACAATGTCAACATTTTAAACTGAAATTGAACATTATAATATAACAAAATGACTCGCTTTCGTTTTACTAATATTTCAATACGCTATGTCTTAATATTGTGTGACATCTGTCATAAATATTTTTCTTTCGATAAAGTAGCTTGACATCCCAAAAATATTCGATAACAGAATATGACTCAAGAATTACAATTGACCAACTAGGTACACGTTACTAATCAAATTGATAAATATAGACGTCATGTGCTGATGTTGCTCTCAACATGGAGCGCATTTATGAAGTATTTTGAAAAAGAAAATAACATACTTAATTAATATTAACAGGATAATTCTACCTAGCAATGGCGCTGTGGCACTGGATAAATGGATACATCAAAACTCCTAAAAGTGACCCGGTTACTTAAAAAAGAAAACCTTATTTGATATCGTTAATAGCAGACACAGAAAAAGATGCAGAAACTCCTGGTAGAGACATATTAAATAAAAGTGAGAAGCAAAGACTAAACAATAATTTTAAGAAGATTAAATGTATTGTTTTTAGTAAGAAGTAAAGCCCAAGCTATGAACTGAAGAAATCAGAACTAAGAAAATATAAAAACTTAAGTCTTTGAAAAGTGGTATAACGGACGACAGAAAATGTGGCACTGAAATCCGAAGATTTATTGGAATAGCGAAAGATTATTATCAAATGTTAAAAAGTTAAAGTATCAAAAAATAGGAAAGAATTCTGAAGTGTTATGTAATAATCTTATATATAAATTACAGTGTATGTATGTTTGTGCGTGTGTGTGTGTGTGTGTGTGTCCAAGAAACTTCTCCACTCCTACCCGTCAGATTTCAATGATTCATAGCTCATTGAAAAGCCCTAGAAAAGTTATGCGCAAGGAACGATTTTCGTTGAGCTCAGATTCAGGGTTGCCAGATTATACGCGGTTAAATATATATATATATGTTATACTAACTGTTATAGTTGCTTTCATGGCGTCATTTGATCTAGCTCCTGTGGAGGACTCTTGGTCTGGTCATCATCACAATGACTAGGAAGGAGCAGATGCGATAGGCATCAATAAACTACAGAAATTCATAGCTGCATTTAAATACTTAAATGCAGCAATTAATGTTTAAGCTTACCCTTTAAAAGTTCAACGATAATTCTTCAGCTGCCACTTAATTTAAAGACGATTTGTTGTACGTAGATCTTTATTTTCAATACAAACAATTATTTTTATGTCATGGTTAACAGAACAGGAGAAAATGTATAAGATAAAATTAATATAGTGTAAAAATGGGAAAATAGAATTAGTTATACATTCAACATTTGAAGAGTTAGAGAATCATAAGAGCTAATCAAGTTAAACCTGTATTATGAAATCTATACGAACTAATGCAAAATTGATGCTCAATTCTCCCACGAATTCTGAGTTTACAAAGCCCCAGCTCTACTTTATAGTAATTTGGTCTTTACTCGACTCCTGCGATACAAGGTTGGTTTAATGTGGCGAGCCCGAGCGCGTACACCCGGGCTAGGAACAAAAATTGCCTGCAGTCCCTGCAAACCCTGCAACCGTAGGTTGCGCTGGCCTCGTGCGTACACCGATCCCTCTATCTAGTGCAATGAGAGGGTGTGGCCTCGGGAAAGCTGTTCCCCAGGGCCGGGGCTTCTCAGTTTAATTTTCCTCAGTTGCGACTCTATCCTTCGACAGAGGCATCCCTGAACGCACTCTGCCTAAAAAAACAGAGACGGAACTGAGAGATGATAAATAGGGTGTTACAAACTACTCGAGAGAGCAGTTTACACACTAGGTATTTACTCTGTCTCCCCACTAAGTTGTGACACAAGGCCATTTTTTAAGGTGGGGACCCGGGCGCGTACACCGAGGCTAGGAACAAAATTTGTCCGCAGCCCCCTCAAGTCACTCGAGAGAGCAATTTACACACTAAAAGCTCAATATGTGTATTATATATTATCTACTTTTAGGCAATATCACTATTTAGCTCTAACTAATTTGCATAATGATTTTAAATTTAATTTGATTTTAAAGTTTATTTCATTAATTAACTATCCTCCATTACTGTTTTTTTCATTCGAGGATTTTTTTTATTTTCATATCAAAAATAGTTCTGTTTAGGCATATCATTTAATATAGTGCGGAAAAGTGTAGTGTTTGAAATTTGTATTTTACTTGGCCTTCAACAAGTTGGCATCTATTTGTAAAACTTCCCTTAACTATAACAAGCCAATTTATGAATGAAATTTTCATTAAAATTTTTGTTTCAAAGATTTCAACTAGTGAATATACTATCTTACTTTGCGAAGCGACAACAAGCGGGTGAAGACTGTTAATTTTCATATATAATAGTATAGCAGGACATTTTCTCATAGCTGAAGAGGAAACTTACGATAACAGGAATGTGGTTCTACAGAAGGAAGATGAGAATTTTACGGACGGAACATGTGTAAGTTTTAAGGAAAAGTTTTGCAAAATTTTAGAATCGGGAAGACACTGTTGAAATTTCTTAGACATATAATGAGGAAGTAAAGTTTGGAAATATCACAGAATATCATATGACATATGGAAAGCAACTTGAGTAGAGAGAAACGTCTGATATCCTACCAAAAGAACTTGCGTACATGGATGATATATCAAAGACTGAGAGAGATATAAAAAGACAGACCTTACTTATACTTATAAAGAGTAGAAAGTTGTAGAGAGACGGTATCGCCCCCGTCTTGAAGAGACACAACACAATATTAAACAAAGACATGAATAAATGTATTCTCAGATATTGTTAATTATTTGAAGAGATTATTCTAGTTGAACTAAAAGGGGAGTATATTAATATATCCATTGCAGTATATGCATCGACAACACAAAGCACCGAGGAAAAAAATTAAATATTTTAGAGGCACATTGGACCACGTCAAGGCTCAAGAAGACTCAATCCATACGAAATGATTAAGTAAACCTTCTCTATTTCTTCTATTTTCTCTCCACCCTAAGAAAAAAGAAGGCATTTTTTTTTTCAACTATAGCTATTAGAGTTCGCTTTTGTTAATACTATTATTACAATATAAGACTGCAGATCGTTCCATACAACCTACGTGTGTGTATTACAATACTTAGTGACCATCAAAACTTAATGTATCACATCATATATCACACCATTCTTTATATACCCTAACGTTGCAGATATGGAAAATCAGTTTAAATTGATATTTTGGCTGTTCTGTTACATCCGGCCATTGTGTATACCGACTTTGATTATACAAAATCCATTTTCATCACAAGTTATAATACGAATCACTTTAAGACTGTTCGCCAAGATTAATGCAGGCTTCAAGCTTTGATTTTTTTAATTTTTTCAATTAAAATGGAACTCATTTATTGAACCCTTTCTTTTTTGTGTCAGTCGTTCTAAAATTATTTGAAATGGTTCCAATAAAGTTTGCTATAAGTTTCAGCGTGTAGGTCATTTTTAAATTTTCATTGATTAATTGTTTTGCAAGACCTGTCTGTTAGTTTCCTAAGCTAAAATCTCCACTAATTTTTTCCCCGTAGTCTAACAGTCATTACTAATATTTTTGTCTACGAATAGAACATTTATATTCCTTAAAATTCAACCCTATTTTGACATTTGGCTTGTGCAAGTAGAAACGCGAAAATTATGACTCGTAAAGATTTTCCTACTTGTCAAATAAACGAAGTGCAAATTAAAGGATTTGCATGAAATATCTAGTAAATAGTCAGTAAATCATATAATATTTTTTAAATTGAATCGTTTAAGACAAATGGTAGGAATAAACTTAAAAGACAAAAATAAACTTCTTCTGCCAGGATGATATATAATAAATATATAAATGTTAATTACACATAAATCTAACAGGCAGCCCTACCTACAGAGAGATGCTTGGAAGGACGTAAAAAAAATTAATTCTTAAACCTTAAGGTGAAAATAAAAGTGAGCTTTCCTCGATAATGGATATGTGAGTCTAAGATAATTGTGTAAGAGTTATTTATTAGAATGCTCGTTTGTGTATCTATACATGTTTATATGACATGTCCATATATACTCGTTTTTGTTTGCGTTAGATCATCAGTTACTCCTCTGCGTTTGCGTATCGATGATACTCTTCATCTATCCAAATAAAGAGAAAGAACAGTCAGCTTAAAACTCCAGCATTTATTTGTTTTTTTTTTTTTAGAAAAGTGCTCGATACAAAATATTAAAATATTTCATGATCGCGACACGGTAATTTCCCTGTTTCGGAACTAAAATTTTTGTTCCATTTTTAAGCCTTGCTAAATATCGCTTGAAAATGGAACAAAAATTTTAGTTCCAAAAGAAGAGGGTATATATATATATATATATATATATATATATATATATATATATATATATATGTGTGTGTGTGTGTGTGTGTGTTGCATATATTTTTGTATGCGTATGTAGTTTGTCATTGTTTTTGCTTGAATGTTAGATAAGTTCCTCCGCGCGTCTGCATGTTTGTTTGTTTGTGTGTGTGTATTTATGTGTGTGTGCATATATTTATGTATGCGTATGTATTTTATCATTGTTTTTGCTTGAATGTTAGATAAGTCCTCCGCGCGTCTGCATGTTTGTTTGTGTGTGTGCGTGTGTGTGTGTGTGTGTGTGTGGAAAGCCTTTGCACGCATTTATGAGGACGAACTTATCCCGGACTCGTCATAGGGGACACGCCTCACTAATTGTCTTGTCATAGGTGGGGAAGTTAATACCCAAGTGTTGAACGTTAACACTGAACATTCAACACAAATACACACACAGAGGCAGAAGACGCAGGATAATACACCTAACAAGAATACTCACCTGAGCAATATATGTAATTTTCTGCATCACCTGTTTCAACATTATTTGATGAAGTCGGGCTAATACACGTTGTGTGATTCGTCCTTCCTGTCTGTCTGTATGTCCATGTGCTATTCAAAATGTTACCTTACTTAAGTGCATTGTCATTGTCATCGCGTCAGTATTCTATTATTTTTTAGTAGGATGACCTGATATTGTACCGTTTTAAATTTGAGTGGTTTAAATTTTAAAAACATTAAAAATTTCAGAATGTTAAACATTGGAGAAGATTGAAATATACATCTTTCATAATCTATTTTCAGACCATTAATAGTAATAACGATCTTTTGTGTGTCCTAGTTTTTGGCTCCTACCCATTTTATGATGAGATTATTAAAGCTTTATATTACAAAGATAATATTGAGAAAGGAAAATAGAAGTATTCCTTTAAAATATAAATTACATTTGATTCCTTCAATTTGAATAAACGTGAAACTCGTAGATGTGATTATATATATATTTGGGCTTGATAAAGCAAAGATCAATTATCTTGCGGGAGGAAATGATTATACAGGTGGGGTATTAAATTTCCTTTGTATGTAGATCATTTGTATTTGCTCTGTAATAAATACATTCAGCTCTCCTTGTGGATCAATTTTAATATTTTATATTATTAGGATTCAGTTGGATTGCTTATCACGGATTTTTGCGTATATATATATATATATATATATATATGAGACATTCTCTAGAAAGAAATTCGGATTACCAACACACAAACAGAGAATGTCTCATATCGAGAATATTTCACATTGAACATGAAGAAAAATTAATTATTTTTAATAATATGTAGAAATCTCCACTTTTACCTGAAGACGGTCGCGAGACCAGAAACACGTGTCGTAAAATTATGTAAAACAAAGCATAATATTTTTTCTAAATAAATCCACATTACAACCAAAAACGTTAGCGGCACCTCTCTTCTCTTCTTTTTAATATACATAATTTTCTCTCGTTGGAACCACTACAACATATTTCTTATATATATATATATATATATATATATATATATAAAAGCCGATAGATTAATTGTGTCATGACGTCGTATTTTAGCAAATATATTTACCAGAATTGCACAAAAATATATCGAAATAATAAAGAGTAAATTTGTTCAATAAAATCGCCATTGGCTACAACAACTGTCTCCAGACAACTTCGGAATCTTCTGTATCTCTTCTGGACGGTCTCCTTATTTAAGTTGGTGACTGCTGCCATAATCCTTGCTTTCAGTTTTTCTTTGGTGATACTAGCTGAACTGCGCCCCACACATAATAAGCAAGGGGATTGCAGTCTGGAGAGTTAGGTGACCAAATGTAGGTGATGTGATCGCAGATATCGTCTAACAGCCATGACTGGGCTCTTCAGTTTGTGTAGCATGTGCAGAGTTCTGTTTCCAGACATAGAGTCTTCCAGCAGCCACCCTCTTGACCCAGGGTAGCACTGAACCCAAAGACAGTGACTCAAAAGAGTGATGATAAATAATTTGTTACAAACTACTCAATAGAACAATTTGTATTTACTCAAGCCCCCCACGAGGTCAGGTTTTGACACAAGGTCGGTTTAATGTGGGATGCCCGAGCGCGTACACCAAGGCTGGGAGTAAAAATTGCCCGCAGCCCCAGCAACCGTCGGCTGCGATGGCCTTGGCGGAAGCACCGATCTATCTATCTATCTATCTATCTCTCACACTCTCTCTCTCTCTCACACACACACTCTCACTCTCTCTCTCTCTCTCTCTGGTAGAATGAGAGGGCGCGTCCTCGCGCAGCTGTTCCCCAGGGTTGGACACCTCTTCAGTATAATTTTCCTTTGACGGAGCCGCCTCTGAGCGCACTCTGCCCAAAGGCAGAGACGCAACTGACAGGTAATAAATATGTGTGACAAACTACTCGAGAGAGAGAGAGAGTAATTTACACACGGTATTTACTCTGTCCCCTCACTAGGACGAGATGTGACACAAGGTCTACGAGGTACGGCCGGGACAGGAACAAAAATTCCCCTCGGCCCCGCAACCGATCCTTCTTTCTGGTGTAATGGGAGGGTGCGGCTTTGAGCAGCTGTTCTCCAGAGATGGGCACCACTTCAGTATAATTTTCTCAGTTGCTCCTCTGTCCTTTGACAGAGAAGCCCCTGAGCGCACTCTACCCAACGACAGAGACCCCCCATGAGTTCATGTTGTGACACAAGCTCGGTTTAATGTGGGGAGCCTTTTGCGTACACCCGGGCAAGGAACAAAAACTTCCCGAGCCCCCGAAACCGTCAGTTGCGCTGGCCTCGGTGAGTGCACCGATCCTTCTGTCTAGTGCAATGAGAAGGCGCGGCCTCGTGCAGCTGTTCCCCAGGGCCAGGCACCTCTCAGTATAATTTTCCTCAGTTGTGACTGTCCTTTAAAGGAGTCGCCATGAACGCACTCTGCCCAAAGACAGAGACGCAACTGATAGATGATAAGAAATGTGTACCTACTCAAAAAGAGTAGTTTACACACTAAAAGCTCAATATCTGTATTGTATATTATCTACTTTTAGGCAATATCACTCTTCAGGTTTAACTAATTTGCATATTTTTTAAAAAGTTTATTTCATTAAAAAAACTGTCCTTCATTACTCTTCTTTTATTCGGTGATTTCACTTAGCATTCAACAAGTTGGCATCTATTTGTAAAACGTTCCTTTAATATAACAAGCCAATTTGTGAATGAAATGGCCATTTAAATTTTTTTTCCAAAGATTCCAAGTATATATATATAATTTCCTGATGTGCGCACATGCGAATTCATCCTCTCGTTTACTTTTTATTAAAGAACTCGACAATGCGAAACAGACTCTAGTTAACAATGGTTTTCCTAACTACCTCATCGATCACCAGACAAGACCATTACTTTCCAAAGTAACTAGTAGCGATAACGAACAAACCGACAAAAACAATAACATTAACATCTTTTACAAAAGCCAAATACACGCCAGCTTTAAGCAAGGTGAATGTTCAGTTAGAAAAATCATAATGAAATTCATTACACCAGTCGAACCGAACAAGAAAATTAAATTATCTATTACAAAAAATGTAAAACAGCTTACGTGTTCAAATGCATCTTAAAAATCTGTGGTCCTGGTTTAACCAAATTCATAAATATTTACATCTGTCACACTACCACTGCCTATACAAACGAATCTATAAATTTCTGCCGCATTAGTTATTACCAGTAAAACATTCGTTTATCACCATATTTGTACATGAACGCACAACTGTAAAAAATTTAAAATCAAACTCAGTGTTGCTATTGCACGCTCCAAAAACAATAACTCATTTCCAATAGCATTTTCGGATACAACAATACATATATTTTCGTTGTCCTCTTATTACTAAGAGAAAAAAACAAGAACAACATCTATTCCATACCTGAAGATGTCTGTAGGAACAGATGAAAGCTTGTAGTAAAAATAAGAACTAATGCGGCAGAAATTTATAGAAACAAGGATCTTTTCATTCATAACGGATTCGGAGGTTTTTGTATATTATTTGAATTGTTTGCGACGATGGATTTCTCGCCAATTAAATCATTAACCTTTGCATTTGTTTTTGTGTGAATAATTCATGAATTTGTAAATGGATTGCACGTTTATCGAAATATATATTAACCTTTGCTTTTGTTTTTGTGTGAATAATTCATGAATATATATATATATATATATATATATATATATATATATATATGTTTGATAGGTGACTTAAGTTTCTTTTTTTTACCAACTCATCAGACACAAGATTTCTCGTGCCTGATGAGTTGTTAAAACTAAGAAACTAAAGTGAAGCCCCTAACTTAGGTATATGTATATTTATTAATATATATTGCTTAGTTTTGTCTAATCACACCAAGGACTGTTAGGTTTACACCTTAAAGTAAATTTAGTAAATATTTATTTGCTTACCTGTGTATGCACGCTAGCGCGCATATACGGTTGTTAATATCTAGTTATTTGATTTACCCAACTTTATACATATATATATATATATATATATATATTGAGAAAAGTGATGTTCCTAGTCAAAGTTCTCAAGTAAAGACGTTTGTAGTGAAGAATTTATGCGTGCTAACGTGAAGGTTTCTCTCTCTGTGTGTCTATGTACAACAATATTGTTTAAATGCCTGCTTCTCTTGTACCAAACTACTCGATGTCTGCCAATCTCTGTTTGTGTAAAAATCCTCTGAGAAGTTAATTAGTTATAGTCCCACAAATTTTTGGTAGGCTGTTCATAGCGACGACATTGCCTATTGATTTAACTGTCAATTTCTGAGCATCGTACGAGGTGTGGGGAAGAAGATTGTAAATTAAACCTTCAGTGAGATTCACTATCTTCGGTTTCTATTGAAAGATGAAACGAATTTTTTGATGGGAGCTCTTCATTTAGTCCTTTCGAATTTCTTTCTGTCCCACTCCTTGATTGTTATTCTCCCTCAATTCTCTTGACTCTCTTCTCTCTATTTCTTTCTTTTTTGTAAGAACTATAGAAGAATATTATGAGCAGATCGATATTCTAATCGATTATTTTTATTTCGTTTAGGAGGAATGTACACCTTGTGGTAACCCAATAAGCAGTTAATGCAAGGAATTAAAAAAATAAAACAATGATAACAAAATACGCATTAAAAGTCATAAACAATCGATTAACAGTTTCGAGACTAAAAACGAGAATAGGATCACAGTTTTTCATCGTTTAGAGACAGAACTAAGAGGAATTAAATTAATATGCACCATTTTAATAAGATCAGAGTAATAATAAAGGAAACTTATAAAAATAAAGAGGATTTTTTGTATAAAAAAATAAACACCGCAGTAGTTTACTTATAATACTAGTTCATTCAAAATCGGAAAAGCAATTAATTATTTTAATGGATTTAAAGTGTTGCTTGAATC